ATATTTTTTGGAAAATGTGTGGTTAAAATTTAAAAAAACTTTATTGGTTTGTGTGTAGAATATTTTATTGTGTGAATGTGTGGTGGAGAAATGATACTGTAGCAAACCATTTAATTTTTAAAGGATGACAAACACACCCTTAATTCTGTCCTAAAAAAGATCTTAGGTCTTTCCTATTATTATGTGTCTTAGGCTCACATTTATTGTATTAACTTTCAACCTGAGCATTTTGTTTTATGAACTGAATGTCATGAACTTTGATTTATGTAAAATAATTAGCTTAATCAAGATAAAGTAGCATCATTGATTCTTCAAATAGATGAACAATGTCGACGTTCTCTCTAATTAATTCCTTTGATCCATGTGTAAAACCAATGCAATAAATTGGTCAGTTTTTTTCTGATCATTTAGTTGGAAGATTAATACTGGTGTTTTAAAAAGCGTAAAGCGTAACTAGACGTGAAAGCGAAACTTCAAGCTTTTCGAGTTTAAGTGAGGCCTGGACTTCAAAAAACGTTTTTTAATCATTTTAAAAATCATTTAATGATTAAAATAATACATATCAAACATCTAAAATTATAAAATACTAGGGGTTGTTTGATGGAGATTAAAATTAGATTTTTAGTAGATTTTGATAAAAGTTGATGGAATATGTGGTTGAAAAATTGTGGGACCAATGAAATATGTGGTTAATATTGATTGTTTGACTTTGACTTAGATTAAAATTTGATTTTAATCAATACCAAACAAGGATTTACTTAATAATTCATACAATTAGTCAATTATATAATTTTCAAGTTTTCGAAATACAAAAAAATAGATTATTTTTCATAGTCAATATTCATTTAGACAAATCCTAATAGATTTATAGGAATTTCATAAATATTTTCGAAGTTTTCAACAAAAATAACGTCTCAAAATCATAATTACATAATGTAGATAATATCGTAACTTAAATCTTATTTAACTCTTTATCGGATAAAGTTATTTTTTATTAGTCTTTTAAAAACTTGAAGTTAAAGTCAAATGAAAAGTTTTGTCAAAACATAAAAAAATTAATAAACTAAAGTCAAATAAAGGACTTTGAAAAAAAGAAAAAAAAAAATTAATAAAGCGTGCCTGGGAAATACGAAAGAGAGGAAGGAAAAAATTCAACCGTTTAAAAATCGAAAGAAAAAAAAACGTCAGACGCGAAGAAGGACGTTTTGCCCGAGCTTCTAGCTTATCAGTGCCTATGCGCCGTATAGACGAGTTTTTTAGAATACTAATTAATACTTAATTGTACACGATGACCAAACTTTCACCCTAATTATAATTAGGTCATTAAAATTTAATTAACAGTAATTGGATCACTTAACTTCATTTCATAGCAATATTTAAATGAGTTCATTTGTTGGATGGCCGTTAAAACTAACTTATGCAAATCCACATAAACTAAATTACAATACTTAGGAGCCATTTGTGTTGAAAGAAAAGCCTTGTGTCAACACGATTTCCATGTTTGTCGACAAATTTTTGCTGTGTGCTGAACTTTTGGGGCGGAAATTTTGGGGAAACACGCATAACTCTTTGTAGAAAATTCTGAATGGTAATCCGTAAAATGTGTTGGACTCCTAACCAGGGCCGGTTCTGGATTGCCTTGGGCCTCAAGTTATAAGGGGGCCCTCAAAAAAGATTTTAAAGCCCGAAAATAATGTTCCTCATCACAAGAAATACTCTGATTCGACCATGTTTGTGAAAAAATTATGTGCAGGACATATGATAATTTAACGATTCAAAATTTTCATAGCCCGACCTACTCCTACTCGATATGTTTTTCAATGATTTATTATTTTCTTTGTGGAGACCTTTATATCAATTTTGACATTCAAATTTCTCCACATATTCTGCATTTTAGGCTCTTGAAATATGAGACCCTGGAATTAATGAAAAAATTCCTCACATCCCGGTGGCCTGAATATGAGCATGACGAAGACAGACATGCACAAATATCAACAAGAAGTTGATGGATAAAAGGATGGACAAAACAAAACGGCGATATTTAAATTAGCCTAGCTTAGATATTTGAATTCATTACTGGCNTTAGATATTTGAATTCATTACTGGCTTAATAAAATTCTACTATGATAATGTAATAAATTTATATACAAGTTCTTGGCTAAACGATCCTCATGTTTGGAACTTTACTTCACTCAGAAGTTAATGACAAACTTATATCTTCCTGCTTTATTTGCATAATAAGTGCTTATTTGTGTGTTGATTTATGGATGACAGGAGTGCAAACAGTGGCAAGATATGGAGAAATATCATGTGGCTGTAAAGGGAAGTATGGAAGCACAGAAACTGGTGGAATGAATCTACAAAAGAGCCAGAAGGCAACGCAGACTAATAGATTGAAGAACAAAGAAACCAATGAAATGGAAAATAAGAGTATTTATCCAATCTACCTTCAAGAACCAGCTTATGCCCCTCACTTGGTGAGCAAGGGTCCTGATTCCTGCTCTATTATGTAAAAATCGATGTCATGTTTGGCGTGATGGATTGTATAATAGATAGTATAAATAAGATAAATAAGCTAAAATCCCGAGTATTATCTCTCATTGTATGCCGAACATGTACTTGTAGTGTCATGGTTTAGTGTTTGGGCTTGAGTTTTTCATTTCTATCCTTGTGACTATGTTAAAAAGCTTATAATTACCTTTTTATTTATAGCAACACTGGCAATTTTTTTTTTTCTGGTGCTCTATTGGCATGATACAGCTAAAAAGATGAAATTTGTTTTGGACTCTTTTTTTGGTATCCTACTTCATCAACAACTTTACTAGGAATTGTTTGGACATCCCCTACATTTTCACTATAAATATTAAGCTCTTTTATACAATTTCATAAGTGTGAAAAAAGAGATTACCGAAATTTTAAGATGTATATTTCTCTATTATTATTGATGCAATAAAATCTCATAATTTATCTGTCATATTTTCTTGTCTTTTTTTATTCTTTTGCTTATAATCAAATACTTAATTATTATGCGATATAATTTCAACATTTCAATCTGATGGTTGATTCATTACAATTGTAACGTTTATATTTAACATAGTCACCACTATACCATTGTTGAGATAATATTCACCACCACTAAACTCTATTAGTACAACACTGGACACAATGTTTATGATTAAATACAAAACACAAATACAAAGTCTTCGCGGAAAGAATGATTTTCTCATCCTTTGAAAATTCCCTCTTTTTTATTTATAGAATTACGTTTATTTATTTTTGAATTCAGTTACATAATTAAACCAATTATAACATTACTAATAATAAGATTTATTTACTTTGTTATTGTAATTACACTAGCAAGCAATAAAATTTCGTAAAAAAGACCTTCAAACGCTATGTTAAATGGGGGACCAAACACGACCTCTTCTGCAAACAAACTATAAAAGCGAAATAGGACAATATTTTTTACTACTATAGCATTTAGGTAAGGATGTTAAGTGGGACGAGTATCAAATTTCTCGTGTGTTAGCTCTCATGAGTTGGTTCGCAAGCTAGCACCCTTGCCAGCTGTAAAGGAAATGCCTCAATGCAATATGCTTTGAGGAGGTATTCATATATAGAAGGAAGCTACACGTTAGCTGTACAATTACAAGTATGGAAATAATTATACAAGGAAAA